CTCATCCTTGATGGTGCGGCACTACACTGACATTTGCTGCGGAATCAACGGGTGCTACAACATTTCGCGCGCGTCACCCTTGAATGATTACGAATACTTGACTCACATATCTGGGAACTTAGCGAAGCAAAGAGTGCCTGACCACAACAGCCTGTCTCTCAACGACATTTTCCTTCTTGTTGCGCCACACATGAACTACATCAACAGGCTGCTGATGCGTGACAACCCAATGGTGCACCCGAACCAGACAGATATGGATATCAGGCATACTACTGCGGGGGTACAGTGTCGTATGGACAACGACCACGGGGGCCCCTAAGAAGTCAAAAATGCAACTTTCATTTTTGTTGGTGAACACAACCGTAAGTCCGTAAGCATTTGTCCTCAAGTCAGGGCAGCCCAAGTCCTACATGCCGCGAGGGGTACCGATCAGTCCTATAAGCAAGGCAACTGCGATGTGGCTTACTGCACCTATCGGGGATGCCTCGACGCAGATGGCATGATAACGGTAAACCATACCGACAAAGGAGAATACCCTCTGGTGTAAAGAGTGAAGAATGCGGCAGCCTGCATGAGTTTCAGGACTTGAAGCGCCTCCACGGCTAAGCGAATGCTCAGGTCCGACAAATAGTCTGGCACCAATCTTTAAAGGACCCTCAAGTCAAAGGGACCCGGATCTAGAGAACTACCCATATAAGCCCAACACCCAAAAGCCACTAAAGCACCACCTGAACCCTAAATAACTGGACCGATGTACGGAGATCACAATACGGAACCCCCAACAAAGTAGGCTATTCGGGGTTGAAGTAGGCCCTAAAAGGCCTAAACTTTAACAGAACCACTCCAAAAGACCCTATGAGCACTCTGCGAAGCCTTGCAGGTGTGGAAAACCCTCCTGCGAAGTTAACAATCAGCAGCACCCCTAAACCCTAGACCCTAAACCCCTAAACCGTAAACCCATAAAGTTATGAAGCCGTGCAAACGCTTGAAACCTTTGGGCCCCAACCATAAAGCTTACTATAGAGGCCTGAATAAGTTATAGTCTGATATACCCCAAAACCTTGTTCTTGCTATTAAGGCCCCTATCGTACAACCTAAACTCAAACCCCTAGGACTTGCATTGAAAATCCCTGCCCAAAAACCCCTAATGTAGGGGCCTAGATGATTACCAATACTATTTTGGGGGGTTCCTTATTATAATTATAGTATTATGGGTCCCAAAACCTTATTCTAATCATTAAGGCCCCTGTACTATGGTGGTGCCCTTATAAAAAGCCTTGTAGAGCCCGCTGTCGTAACCCTGATAGGACCCGTATAACACCGGTCAAAGCAACACTACAACCCGTTAATGCTTGATCTACAATAACTTACCACAGAATCTACAATGTATCGATATATATATATATATACACACATACTATATCACACAATATTCAAACTAGGATATGGCATATATGTATATGTATATGTGTATATACATAAGATATGCCATATAACTTGCAATGTAGGGACTCCCTCAGCCGGACATGGGGCCCAGGCTCGCGGCGAGGCGAGGAGATGAGCTGAAAGCCATCCGACACCTCGTAAGAAGGTGTTCTTGAGGGATACTTGAACACATACACACATACATACATACATACATACATACATACATACATACATAGATACACACATGAATGCGTGCATACATACACATACATGCGTGCAAGGGCAATGCTGGGCAGGACAGGGCAGGACAGGGCAACGCGGCGCAGCTTCTGGCAGCAGAACATGTCAGATTATAACATATTTTAGCATTGTTATTGCAAACCACATTTTGCACGCAGGCATACACTCATTCATTCATCGGTTCATTCCCTCCTTCCTTGATTCTTTCATTCATACGCAAGCTCATACATACAGGCGGACTTCCACACTTGCATACTTGCTCCGTTACTTTCCTACTTGCATACTTACATGCTCACTCACTCACTCACTCGCTCGCTCACTCGCTCGCCCAGTCGCTCATGCACGTGTATAATTGCTTGCTTTCTTCATCACTTAGCTGCCCGAAAAATGCAAATATGCAGATATACATATAGACATCTGGTTTCTGCGCATAGGTTTTTACGCGGGTATAGGTGGCTATTGTAGATGTACGCGAAATATACACACAGGGGACTCCTCCGAGAAGGCAACCAAGAAACGAGTGTTGCAGAGCCCTGCAGAGAAATGGAGCAGAACAACATTGAAAACACTGGGACCTACACTAGTACCCGAAGACGGGTCTGGAATCCATGAATGCCCCTAGATTCCCTAGATCCCCAAAAACCCTGCACAGAAAGGTTTAGGCCAGGCAGGGACCCACCTGGGAGTTTCTGAAAATAGGGGACCCTAATATAGTACCCTAAACAATAGGATCCTTATTATAAGGACCCCAAATAAGGTACCCTCATTTCCGGAAACTCCCACCTGGCGCTCGACGCCGGGGCCCGGGATCACCAAGTGGTCACAGCCGATGTGCCCCTGCACCGAAGGGAGGACTTGAACTTGGGTTTCGGGTTTAGGGTTTAGGGTTTAGGGTTTAGGGTTTAGGGTTTAGGGTTTAGGGTTTAGGGTTTCGGGTTTAGGGTGTGTCCGGGTTGCGGAGTTGGGGTTTGGGTTGGGAGCCTAAACCCCAAATCCTAAACCGCTTAGGTAGTGGATTTTGCTTTGGGGCTTCATGTTCTTGGCTGATGATGTCGGAAGCACACGAAGAACTTTTACAGGAAACTGAATAAGAACCTCTGGTTCCTTATTAGGGTTCTTTGTAATATGAATCCTACTGCTGTGGATTATAGGGCCAGTGTTTCTGAATCAGGCTCCAACTCTACGAAGGGCAGCAACAAACTCGTTGAACTCATGCCCGACTCCTTAGTCTAAGCCATCAACTATGCTGCCTAGACCCTAAGCCCCTAGAAGCCTAAACCCCCAACCTAAACCCCCAAACCCCAACGCCCTAAACCAACAAAACCCCCAAACCCCCCGAACCCCGGAACCCAAAACCCCTAAACCCCTGAACCTCTAAACCCCAAACCCCTAACCCCCAAACCCCTACACCCCTAAAACCCCTTGAAACCCCCTACAACCCAAAGCCCTCAATAAAAAACCCTCAAACCCTCAACCAAATCTCCCCCTAAACCCTAAACCCTAAACCCTCAACCCTCAACCCTCAACCCTGAACCCTAAACCCTAAACCGTCCACCTCTGGTGGCACCGCAGCCGGCGCTCCGTTCCTGCGAGTGAGCTTCTTTTCTGACTTAGGGTTTAGGGTTTAGGGTTTAGGGTTTAGGGTTTAGGGTTCAGGGTTCAGGGTTCAGGGTTCAGGGTTGAGGGTTCAGGGTTTAGGGTTTAAGGTGTAGGGTTTAGGGGCCTACATCCGGGCTGAATAAGCACCCCTCTTTGGGGGGCTCTACACTGCTTCTAGTGATACGGGTTCAGGGTTTGGGGGCTTGGGGTTACGACATAGCAAGTATTTTTTGGGGGACCTCTATGAGTCTTTAAGATATATAAAGGTTGTAGGGTTTAGGGCTTAGGGTTACGATACGGATTCAGAAAAGAAGGGTTTCTACAAGGGTTCCTGTAACAATTTTGTATCTTCCAGCTACCTCAGCAATGAGCTACTGGGTTCCTCCGCCGTCGAGCGGCGGTTGGGGCGACCACCGAGACCCGGGGTTCAATGCATCTCGCACAGTCGAGTCCATGATGTTGATCTCCCCGACGGAGGCATGCAGAGCTCACAAATACCGTCACTTGGCAGCCATGAGTTCGGAGTTGAAGCTGAGGAAATCGTTTAGTGTCAGATGGTACAACTTCCGCTTTTCGCCAAGCGAGCTCTCTTGCTGATGTCGGAATGGCCTGCATGCTTAGCGATCGAATCGCGTCTCGGCCGCATGCCTCGTGATCTCCCCAGCTCCACGCTCCAGGCAGTCTCCGTGTCTCCTTCACAGGCAGCATCTAACACAAAGACCCGCAGAAGACCGCATCGTCCCGCTTCGTCACAAGAAATAACTGCTTCCCGCCAGCGTCAATCGCGTTGCTCTCTGGCTGGCCCATCGCTGCACGGGTGGCGCAGCAACCTCACCCACGCTTCCATTGATCTCGCTGCTGCGCTGCTGCGCTCTGCTGCCCCGAGCTTGAAACTCAGATCCCAGCGGGCTGTCCTTGTAGCCCACACCCTAAACCCTAAACCCTAAACCCTAAACCCTAAACCCTCCATCCTAGCCCTATACCTCCATCGACCGGTGATTGAAACAGAGGCCGGCAGAAGACTCCGAACTCCCACGCTTGATGATATAAATCCTGCATGACCTTACGGACGCTAGGCCATGGGAAGTATGGCATATGCCTTATTATGGGTTTAGAGTTTAGGGTTTAGAGTTTAGGGTTTAGAGTTTAGGGTTTAGGGTTTAGGCTTTAGGGTTTAGGGTTTAGGGTTTACTGGAAACCGTAGTGTTATCGACACTTGCCCTCACCGTTGAGCCCCGGAGCCAAAAAGCCACGCAAGAGTAAGACCCTACACCCTAAGCCCTAAACCTAAAGGGCCCTCGCCCCTCGAAAGGCCTACGCCGGAATCCTCAACGCCCCGAACTTTGGGAACTTAAAAACCTGCACCCGAAACCTCCTCGCCCTACACCCGAGCCCAAGAGTCCCATTCCATGAGGCCTTAAACCCGAAACCCTGAAACCCTTAAGCCTAGAGCCCACAAAACCCTAAATCCGAGTACTCAAAAAAAGTAGTTTAAAAAACTGAAGCTCGAAACCTAAACCCTAGGCCGGAAACGCCAGATAACATGCAATCCTTTAGAACTCTTGTCATATAGGGCCCTTAACAATTAGAACAAGGTTTTGGTGCCCAGTATACTAAAACTGTACTAAGGAATCCCAGAAATAATATAGGTAATTACCCTAAACCCTAAACCCTAAACCCTAAACAGTAGAAACCTTTACTGAAGCCCTTTGTTTTTGCTGCAGACGGGAGGCAAGCTCTCGAGGTAGACCACCCGGCCGAGCACCTCCAGGGATTCAGCAGCCAGGGCCCCTAAACCCTAAACCCTA